TTTATTGTCAATCAAACTAAGTCAAAAACAGAATATATAAATATATAGGCCTAATGGGAGGAATGACAAATATGAAGGTTTTGCGGGGAAATAATTTGAGCCGGAGTGAACGGGAGAGGCGTAGTGTGGTGGTGAAATTGACTAAATGCAGAAATATTACTAGCTTTGCAATCTTATTTTTTTATAATGACTAACAAACCATTTTTTTCAAATTATAACTAACCTTATGAATAGTGGTTCTTGTGTACATTATGACTAGTGAAACTCTTTATTGATTATGACTAGCAAACCTTTGTTCAATTATGACTAAGGAACCCTACGGTATATCACAAATTATGACAAAATTTTTTTTTATTGATTATGAAAAGCGAAGCTTTTTTTAAAATTATACATAGCGAACCTCCTTTTATTATGACTAGCGAACCTCACGAATAGTGGTTCTTTGTTTACATTATGACTATTTTTATTAACTTTTTTTTTGATTATGACTAGCTAACCCCCTTTTATTTATTATGACTAGCGAACCTTATTAATAACGGTCCCCTATTTATATTATGACTAGCGAAACCCTTTTCTTGATTATGACTAGCGAACCTTATGAATTGAGGTCCTTTTATCAAATTATGACTAGTGACCCTGTTTCTTGACTATGCCTCGCGAATATTATGAATAGTGACCATCTGGTATAGGGTAGACTTGCCACAAATCTCTAATTTATGGATTTTTCGTAGTACATTAGCGCATTTCGGAAAGCGCCACCAGCGTCAGTTTATGTTGAGAAACTTTTTTGATGAGAATTAATCCCAGAAAAACTATACTATGGAACGCCATGCAAATAAGTAATATGGAACGCCATTTGTGCCAAAATCGATTTATTCTTAAGCATTTCAACTGATTAAGACAAAGATTAGGGACTTGAACCCAGTCTAGGTATAGGGTAATGTTATGACTAACGAACCTTATTGTTAATTAACCATATGAATAGCAAACCTTATGACTAGCGAGCTTGACCCGATTGGAATGTGCCTGTACAATGTGATCTCATTGCGAGTGATTGGATGTTGCAATTATATCATGCTACGATTTCAATGAATGACATCTTGTTGAATAGATAATCATGATGTTGGCACTGCTTTTACTGCTGCTGTTTTGTTGTTGTTGTTTGGTGGTGGTGCTGTTGCTGTTGTTGTTGCTACTGTTGCTGAAGTTGCACGCTGTTGCTGTTGCTTTTGTTCTTGATGTTGCTATATATTGCTGTTGCTAAGTTGTTGGTATTGCTCTTGCTACTGCTGCTGTTGTTGACGTTGTTGTTGTTAGTGGTGTTGCTGCTGCTGCAGCCGTTGTTTATGTTGTTTACCGTCCATCCACCACCGTCAGTGTCCATATCGCAGTACACTCTAAACGGTTCTCCTTCGTCATGAGAATGAATCATGTAGTCGCCACTACTCGCTTCGTCATTGTTGTCACGGATTTCAGTGCAGTCTCTAGGATAATCTAGCAAAAAAGTAATATTAATCAAAACAGTAACTTGTCAGAATCCAAATATTGCAATTAAAACCTTTTCGCTATTGAAAATGTGGTTTTCAGAGTTGTTTACCTCGTGGATCAGAATTACAATTGCTACCGATGGCATTGTAACAGCAACTGGAAATTGAGCAGCAACAATTTCCTCCAGTTTTGCTCACCTCCCGGGTCACCTCCTCACTATGCGACAGCATCAGAGATGACAACAGTGTCACTGTGAATGTCCACATGGTTTTCACTGGCGTCTACCGTGGTATACAACAGATAATTAAATGATTTATATCAGCTCGCAATAATATCATGCCAAGCCCATCTAACAATTAGCAAGGTCCGGGAGGATAGGTCTTTACTTTCCGGTTTATGTTTTTTAGCCTTGTTGAACAGTTCAATCTTTGATGGCATAGATTGACCTCGAGTATTCTTTTTTCTTACCTCCATCCTTCCAATAGTAGTTGCAGTATGCGGTTTATGATTATGTGTCTCTAATATAAGTTTATATAATAATATGAATATAATATAATAATATATCAGTTGTTTACGAGAAACCCAAGTCATATACAGTACACGATGACTCATTGGTCACAATATTCGATATAGAGATGTACACAATATTTTTCATGGGCTAAGAAATACGTTTTATCAACTTATGACCATTACTCGAAAAAAAGTCATACTCAGTTGCAGAACAAAAATAATGATCACCATGTATAAATACCTCAACATGGCCCACAACTGGGGGTGGGGGGCCTCCCCCACCCACACGTTTTGGCAGAAAATATAAAATGTCTATGTAGATTTTTGTATGATCGGAAAGAAATGCAAGAAAAGAAAGCGGGAAGAAGGAGAGGGAGAAGAAAGAGAGCCTGTGTTTATCCAGTTCCCGACAAAGTTTTCCCCGACATTTTCTCGCAATTCACATTGGCGTCAGGGGTCTGGACCCCCCTCCCTTGGGCAAAAACAATTTTTTTTAAAAATAAAACGAATTCTAGACCTCCTTTTCAGGACTTGTGAGCTGATTTTTTTTTTTTTTTTTTTTTTTTTTGGTGACAATAAGATGATTAGAAGACTCATTTCCCACCATCTAGGAATTAAAATTTTCTCGACCCCCCCTTACGTTTTGGGATTTATCAATTCATGGAATAAAGAATACGTGTGCAACTACTCATTTCTTTATGAACATTTGGCTGACCGCTTTCAAGAAAGGGAAACCTTAAATTTTGAAGATCTTAAGTCATTAAAAGACACCTCAGAAGTCGGGAAAGCTTATTTCCCGCCATCTAGGAATAAAAAAAATCACGGGGAAGAACACTGACCCTCTTTCTGTTTGGGGTTCATCGATTCATGAAATCGTTTTTAAACTACTACCGTAAATCATCGAATAAGGGGAGGCTTCATGGGTGTATGCAAGGGGGGGGGGGGTCAGGAGGGTCGTACGACCCCCCAAAATTTTCAAATTTCCTAAGGTCCGCATTTTTTTCCGAAGACATTTTTTGCTAGGGCCTTTTCACAATGTCATGAAAAAGCATTGATGAGGTACCAACAATGAGTCCAATGAGCTTGCCAATAGCGTGACATAATCCTGGGGCAGATGCAGGGGGGGGGGGGCAGAGGTGCGATCGCACCCCCCTAAATTGTATTTAGAAAAATAATTGTGAATTGTATTATATTGTTGATATGAATTATTGGTAAGATTTTAAAGATACATGTGAGTGCAATTTCCGGGCACCCAGAAGTCTATATTCTCAAAATGTTCGCATTTGCCCGGCGGGAGGTCCCAGGTCCCCGACGGGGGTGCTGATGTCCCCGACCAGGGGAAAAATTTCCTCGACGAGAACAAAGTTTTAACGAAAGAGCGCTGTACAGCCAGGGTATCTTATTTTATAGCAAGATACCTGTGTCTACCCACAAACATCTGAATTACCTATAATACTCGACTCGAGTGCACGTGCCTTTATTATAATTTGAGAAGTATAAGAAAAAGCGTGCAAAAAGTATTTTCTATGGTACATCACAGCGATTAATTAGATCGATGATGATGATTTTCACTATATAAGAGTGTCATATCCGGCATTCTACAGGTACAATTTCCCCAAATTTTACCACCTCAGCCCCCAGCGGTGGAGCTAAGGGACTTGTGGACTCACAATTTTGAGGTAAAGTAAATACATCAAAGGTAAAACAATGTTTTTAAGTTTTACTTTCTATGGTCACGTACATCACACATACTAATTAGATCTCTATGGTTGCCGAAAAAAGATAATGAGAATTTGTTGGCGCTTCATTTTGACTATATACTTTAAGGTAGGTCGAGTATATTAAATACATCAAAGAAAGTGTTTCTTTAGTTTTATTTTCTATGGTACATCACTCGTATGAATTAGATCTCTGTTGTTGCCGAAAATACCTAATTAAGGGTCATAAAAAATCTGCTGGCGCTTCAACTAGACTAAATAATGATGGTGTGATAATGGTGAATTTTACTGTATAAATGTGTCATTTCCAGCCATCTAAAGGTACTATTTTCTCAAATTTTCTCACGTCGGCCCCAACAATTTGATACATCAAAGAGAATGTTTTGAAGGTTTATGTGTACATTACATACTAATTAGATCTCTGTGGTTTCCGAAAATCGCTGATACCTTTGACTATATAATGGCGATGTGATGATGAATTGTACTATATAATGCCATTTCCGGCTATCACAGGTACTTCCTTAAATTTTTGCGCGCACCCCCTACGGCCAAATCCTGCATCCGCCCCAGTCTCAATTCCAGCAATTTGACTATATAATGGCGATGTGATGATGAATTGTACTATATAATGCCATTTCCGGCTATCACAGGTACTTCCTTAAATTTTTGCGCGCACCCACTACAGCCAGATCCTGCATCCGCCCCAGTCTCAATTCCAGCAATTCTAAAACTGAGCCTGCCATCCGCTTGAAGCTGGTGGCGCTGTACTCGGTTTTCCTGTCTCCCTGCCCTCTGAAAGCTCCAAAAATTATAATCACGACCCACCCAGAAAAAATCCTGGATACACCCCTGGGCTTCTTCAGTGCTGCGCTTATTCGAGTACGGCGCTTAGGCCTATTCGAGAACGGCGAGTATTAACAAAATATTGGCATGGCGATTTTTTTCCTCCCATGCTACCTATCTTACCTATCACAAGCCCCACTATATCATCGTAAATAATCGTTTATAAAGATATTAACCTAGTGACTTGTAAGTTCTTTTAAAACTCTAAAAATTCAAGGTTTTCCTCTCTTAAGACGGTTAGGTAAACTCTCTCATTCAGTAAAAAGGCCTATTATGTGTGCATACATACATAAAAATTGAGTAGTTGCATCCATTAATCGATAAACTCCAAAAAGAAAGGGGTCAGGGGAACCTCCCCTTTTGGATTTTTTTTTCTAGATGAAGGAACATGAGCTTTCCCGACTTCTGAGGTGTCTTTTAATGACTTTTAAGTTAAATTCAAGGTTTCCACCACTTGAAAACGGTCAGGTAATTAAACATTCTCATTCATTACAGTAAATAGGCATATTATGTGTGTAGGCATATAGGCCTAAAATAAAATTGAGTACTTTCATACGTATTATTTTTTCCATGAATCGATGAACCCCAAAGAGAAAGGGGGATCCAGTTCTCCCCGGGAAAATTGTGATTTCTAAATGGCGGGAAATTAGCTTTCCAGACTTCCCAAATGTCTTTTAATGACTATTTTAAGTTCTTCAAAATTAAAGGTTTTTCCCTCATGAAAACGGTCAGGTAAATTTTTCTCATTCTTATACAGTAAGTAGGCCTATTATGTGTGTACCTGTATACATACAGAAAAAAAATTGAGTAGTTACATACGTATTTTTTTGAATGAATCGATGAACCCCAAAAAGAAAGGGGGTCCGGGTTCTCATCTCATTCTGATTCCTAGATGGTGGGAAATGAGCTTTCCCAGCTTACCATACCGAAGTTTATATCATGCGATTTAATTCAATATTTTGTCTGAATCTGCAATTTACAATTACCGGTATGTCATTATAAAAAAAAATATATATATATAATAAATAAGTTATATATTTGTGTTTTTGTTTTTTGTTGTTGTTGTTATATTACGGTTCTTCATTCTTAAAGCTCTTGTGTAATATTATATAATTATTTTTACAATTTGTATGGAAATAAAATTATTTGAAATTGAATTGAAACTACATTATTTTTACTGTATATCATATATATATTTTTATTATATATATACAGGCCCTACCAATAGGTTCCTCGATCTAGTACCCTGACCAAAAAGGACTTTGTTGATAAATAACACCATAATGTGTCTCTGAAATCGACATTAGGGCTTATCATATTATAACGATAAAGCATCAGAGTTGCCAACAGTGTCACTGTGAATGTCCACATGGTTTTCACTGGCGTCTACCGTGGTATACAACAAAAATAATGATCACCATGTATAAATACCTCAACATGGGCCACAACTGGGGGGACCCTCCCCCACCCACATATTTTGGCAGAAAATATAAAATGTCTATGTAGATTTATGTATGATCGGAAAGAAATGCAAGAAAAGAAAGCGGGAAGAAGGAGAGGGAGAAGAAAGAGAGCCTGTGTTTATCCTGTTCCCGACAGAGTTTTTCCCGACATTTTCTCGCAATTCACATTGGCGTCAGGGGTCTGGACCACCTCCCTTGGGCAAAAACAATTTTTAAAAAATAAAACGAATTCTAGACCTCCTTTTCATGACTTGTGAGCTTTTGGGATTTATCAATTCATGGAAAAAAGAATACGTGTGCAACTACTCATTTCTTTATGAAAATTTGGCTGACCGCTTTCAAGAAAGTGAAACCTTGAATTTTGAAGAACTTTAAGTCATTAAAAGACACCTCAGAAGTCGGGAAAGCTCATTTCCCGCCATCTAGGAATCAAAATTTTCACGGGGAAGGTCGGGAGGGTCGTACGACCCCCCAAAATTTTCAAATTTCCTAAGGTCCGCATTTTTTCCAAAGACATTTTTTGCTAGGGCCTTTTCACAATGTCATGAAAAAGCATTGATGAGGTACCAACAATGAGTCCAATGACCTTGCCAATTGCGTGACATAATCCTGGGGCAGATGCAGGGGGGGGGGGAGCAGAGGTGCGATCGCACCCCACTAAATTGTATTTAGAAAAATAATTGTTAATTGTATTATATTGTTGATATGAATTATTGGTAAGATTTTAAAGATACATGTGAGTGTAATTTCCGGGCACCCAGAAGTCTATATTCT